ACTTTGGTCGCTAAACCGTTTGCAGTCCCCGGCAACGGCGCCAAAAATTGATCGGTTGGTCAATTAAACATCAACCTTCGCAATAGCACGAATCATTGTAAAATAGGGCTATTAGTCGGGTAAGTCGAACCACTAGGACTGCGCTAGTCTAAGGCAACCTAAGTGTCTAGAGTCATTCTTAGGATGATGAAGGGGTATAGAGTGTTTGTTTGTCACTAAAGATAGGAATGTAAAGATGCATAAATTAAGAACTTGCAAGAATTTAAAAGAGATAAAATGTGGGTAAAAGAGACTAGGGAAGTAACTTCACCACCTACAATATAAACATGCTAGAATATGATTCATTCGGGGAAAAACAACATAAATATGTGGCTATGATAAGTAGTTACTCATGGTTACTACATTACCTTCAAAAGATTCATGGAATCAATAAGCAAGAACAATTTATCAAAGATTTTACATGCTCAATTACCTAAACTAAAGTGTAATTTAAGATATGTTCACTAAGCTAGAAATTGTCAAACCATTAATCACATGATAAGAGCACATGAAGCTAAGAATTAAGAATAAGCCATCAAATGAAGAACCTAAGCTATGGCCTATCAAATCTCTCAACAATATGCCATTAAAACCATTCCAAAAATCTCATCTTCATTGTCACCATGAAAATGTAAACCATACAACCATGAAAACATACATTCTAAGACAAGAAAGTAGGTCCAACATGATCATTAAATCAAAATCAATTCATTACATCAAGTAAGAGTTCTAGATTATGGAATCACCACAAAAATACATTATTTTCCCCAAACTAGAATCAAAAGTAAAGCATGCTTACAATGAGGGGTTCCATTACCTCCCTAGAGGAGGAGTTAGTTACACATGGGAGCCTTAGAATGAAGAAGAACCATGGATCCTTCTTCCATTTTCGAGCTCCCCTTTATTTGCTCCAAGAACTCTCTTCTTGCTCCTCTTTCTCCCCCCAAAAATCTGATCCAAAAGTGAGATTCATCATGTGTGGCCTCCCTTCTCTTCTTTTGTATAGGTAAGGCCTCTCTCTCCCTTCCAAAAACATCCCCAACCACCTCATAAAGAAGTAAGTAGAAATGAGGAAACCAATGCACAAGTAGCTGCCAAACTGAGAATTCCCAAAGGCAATTCTGCCTGGATTTCGAGCACTCGAAGCAAGGCCTCGAGCACTCGAAATTGGAGCAGATTGCTCCATGCTTGCTTTGCTTCACCCGGACCTACTTTGGTAAAATAGCTATAACTTTGTGCTCCAAACTCCGAATGACAAACCGTTTAAAGATTTGGAAAGCTAATTCAGAGCTCTAAAAACTTTATGTTTTGGTGGAGATCCAATTCTCAAGTCTGGTTGGTCGAAATTGAAGAGCAAGGCAGAAACTCATTGCTGCCAGGCAATTCTGAGCACCTCTAATAAGAAGATCATAACTCTCTGCTCCGAACTTCGAATGATGAACCACTTGAAGATTTGGAAAGATGATTCAGAGATCTAAATCTTTCATGTTATGAGGGAAGTCCAGTTCTCGAGTTTGGTAGGTCAAAAATGGTGAGCAAATCCGGATTTCACTGCTGCCAGAATTCAGCATTGCCCCTTCCTATGTTCAAAACTCCACAAAGCATCATTTTTGCTTCCTTTTTGCAATTTAACCTGAAAATGTGCAAAAACATACAGTTGGAGATAATCTATATAAAATACACAAATAAAGAACTTAACTAATGCAATTTAGGGCGCTTGAATATACAATATTCGGCGCTTATCATGCCTTAGGTCGGATTACACTAACGATTTAAAAGTTGAAACGGATATGTTTCAGATATGGGCAGCGACATTTGCATGTCATTGCACTTCATTAGCATCTATGGTGCGTATATGTTTAGATGACATTTGTTATATACTCATCATTATGATTGTCAATATGTATCCCCTATGGTATGATCCCATCCCTTTCCACCTACTCTTTGCGTGGATTCACGGGGCTATAAGAAGTGTGTCTTAGACACTTCCTATTGGGTTTATGCTCACCCCATTATATCTCAACATTTTTCAGGTTCAGGAAAGGAGGTGGCGGATAACGATTCACCACGTTTTTAGGAGGGTTGGAACTTGTATTTTGCTCTCTCTTTTGCATAGAACTATGAACCATGGTTCTTTTGTACATATTAGGTTTTGCTCAAGGATTGTAACATGATATTAATGTAAATGCCTTAGTGAGGCCATTAACCTATGTAGTAAATCATGTATTACATTGTGGGTTGGGTGTTGAAAGTTTGTATTCATAATTTTAAATGTTTTGGGACAGGTCATACTAAGTTTTCAGCCCCCGTGATAAACCCTTTGTTCACTCCCAGGTTCATGGTATTTTCTGCAGAATTTATACCTCGCAGGGCCATTTCGGTCGACCGAAATAGCCACTTTGGTCGACCGAACCGCCTAGAGACTTCACTTGTTATCCATATCACAATCGGCCGACCGAAATGACCACTTCGGTTGACTAGTACAGGTGCCATTTCGGTCCGCCAAAACACCACTTCAGTCGACCGGTTTAGCTGCTGTAGTGGTGCATTGTTCCTCCTTTCTGCATGGTTTATTTCTGAGCTACGACAAGTTGTTTAAGCCCTTTTGAATCATGTTTGGGCACCATGTGGATGTGTTGACACTAGCCACGATGTGGATTGACTTAGGTGTCCTCGGGTTAGAGTAAGGATCCGGTTAATGGTTCGGACCTCCAGGTTTGGGTCATTACAGTATATACGACACTTTGCATTTTCATATTTTTTAATTTTTTCTAAAATGATAATTATAGAGGGCATATATGTAATTGCACTTATATATATCACCGGAAAGAGGATTCCGACGTTTGGAGGGGCAAAGTGCTCAATTTCAGAACTACTATGATTAAGTTGCTCACTTTTTCACTTCAGGAGAATATTTTGCTCGATGGAGTAAACCTCAGGGAGTATTTTGCACTTTTGTCCAAAATATTGCTAAAAGTTAGTTCTAGTCTTTCCTTCCATTTTCTACTGTACTAAAATTGTAGATGTGGTGTTCAAAGTGTAGTTTTAGTACTAACAGAGCTTTAAGTATCCAGATTGATCGATAACAAGTTGTGGAGAATAGTTGATAATGGTGGGTTTGTTTTGTTTGAATTTGCTTGGGTTTGTTCCCCATTACTTTGGGTATGTTGCACATACTTCCCCATTTATTTCTACTTTTCCTTTATAAGAAAATTAATTATAGCAGTATCCATCTAGGGAATTGGTTCCCTTTACTCTTCCATCAAAGACTGGAAGAGTTACTCTACCTAGAAATCTTTGATATCCCATCTACATATAGTCTATCCAAATTTTTTTGACTTACTATCGGCTAAACTTTCACTTGCGGTAATATTCCGCATCAATATCAATATCAATATATATATATATATATATATATACCTTTCAACATAATAATTTTGTTCACAAGTTTTCTAGTCCATGATTGAATTTTGTATATGTAATATTTATCCAATAAAGTCAGTTCCAACTTAATTTGATTGAGTTTATGTCTGAACTATATCTATTTTTTAATTCTAAAATCAGAATATATAAATAACCATATGGATAATCGGATATGTTGAATTGCAGTGATTATTCATAATAAATTGCAGGGACGGTGGGTTATTTATATGTAATTTTATACTGTTTCTCAACTATATTTAGTACTTGGTCAGTCGAAAAGTGACCAAAAAGGGTACTTTGCGACAGTTTATAAATTGAGGGAGTTTGTGGCCCCTAAAAAAAATAGAAGGGGTATTTTGCAACCTTTCAAAATTATTTAGTGTAGTTTAGCCTTAAATATATTTGTTAAAGTTTTATAATGAAAACTTATATGTGGTCCAGTGGTTACAATCCTCGTCACGGGGGAAGCGTTTCGTTTAAAAATATTTAGCAAAGACAAATGATCAGAATTAGTCACATCTAATTAAACGACATCGTTTGAAGTTCTTTGTAAATGCTTCCTAGGGTCTTTCTGGTGGATCGAAACAAAAATGAAGAGGGAAGCCATTGGAGCGCACAGAAGTGTATGTATTCTCGATTCTCAGATCTGGTAAGCTTATACATACAAATTTATAGATTTATATAGATATCAGTTCAATGATTCATTTTATTAGCAGTAGACTTCAACACACAAGGCATGTAGCTTTACATGCCATTTATCTTTCTTTTCAACCTCAACAGTCAATCCCAACAGAACTTCAAATTCAACGGACCAACAATCTCTTACGGTCTCTTATCTGTTAAACTCATGCGGGTTGTCTTTAAAATCAGTTTCTAAGAAGCTCCAGTTTGTAAAACCTGACCAACTAGACTCAATCTTGAACCTTCTCAAAACCCATGGCTTCACTCAGACTAATATAAACAATCTGACAACAAAACGTCCTCTGATACTTCTAGCTGATCCACACAAAACCCTCAAACCCAATATTGATTTGTTTCAATCTTTAGGCTTTTCCGGCACTAACCTTGTCAAAATGCTCAAAAGAAATCCACGTGTGCTTGAGACTGATGCACATACTGTTGTTGAGCTTTTCAGAACTTATGGTTTCAGTGAAATTCAAATTTATAGCTTAACCATGAAGCGTCCAATTTTATATTTACACAATGCACACCAAAACTTTAAGCCAAAGTTGGAATATTTCAAATCTTTGAGCTTTTCAGAAGAAGAAATTGCAAAGATACTGTCATCTGTACCTTCTATCCTTCAAAGCAGCCTTGAAAACCAACTCATACCTTCTGTTCAAGTCATTAGACGTATTGTTGGCACCAATGAGGATGTCTTGAAAGCAATCAAATCTTGGTCTGGAATAACCAAATATTGCAATCTTGTTGAATCATGGTGTACCCAAGCCATTAGTTCTAAAATGGTTTATGTATCAACCAAGGTCCCTCCTTTTAAAAAGTGATCGGTTGAGTGAGGTTGTCAGCAAAGTTGAAAAATGGATTTTGATCCCACAAGTCGGCAAGTCATGTTAGCCATTTATTCAATGACAGTCATGAGCAAATCACTTTGGGAGCAAAAATTGGGAATTTATTCTAGTTTTGGGTTGCCAGAAGATGACATTATTGCAGCATTCAAGTTACAACCAGTATGTATGTTGGGTTCAGAGGAGAAGATCAGGAAATTAATGGGCTTCTTTGTTAATCAGCTGAAATTGAAGCCTAAAGTAATTTCCAAGCATCCAAATCTGTTGCTACTTAGCTTGGAGAAGAGGATTGTTCCAAGGTGTGCTGTTCTGCAACTTTTGATGTCGAAAAATATGATCAAGGGAGACCTGAGCTTAATTTTTGCACTCAAAATGACTGAAAAGATGTTTGTGGGGAAGTTTGTGAGAAAGTTTGAGAATGAGATTCCTGAAGTTGTTGAGGCACGTCAAGGCAAGATAGAATTTCAAGGGTTTCCCTTTAATTTAAGAACATGAACAGTTGTAATATTGTGGACTCTAAGAACAGCTTCACATTCACGCATTAGAACAAGTCTCTAGCAACTAACCATTGGGGGCTTATTTGATAGTTGTATGGGGTAGCAGCAATGGCAGTGTAAAATGCAGAAGTTCTGGAGGAACAGCATCGATTGACAAGGCATATTGTAGACGTTTTCTTTTTATGTTTTAAGATTGATTTATTTCAATTGGTACAATTTAAGCATCATTTTGTAGCTCTTGTACGATGATGTGGACAATTCAATTTGTTTTCTCCTAATCCTTTTTTATTTGAACTACTGGTTCTTTGTTTTGGGTTCACTCATATGAGTTGTAGTTTTGTTCCCGTTCTGTGCTTTCACTGCATAACATATTATACAGAGCTGTCATTTTCTCAAATAGAGTAATTTTAGGTAGGTGGTTGCTTTTTACTAATGACTGGCATCCTCTACATGTTGGTTCAACTCCACTTTTAAAAGCTTCCAGATTAATTATTTGAGTTTATCAACTAATCATAAAATTATTTGACTTCTTCAGATAGCTTGTGCCTTGGTGGGCGTTATGAAAGACTTGCGAGTTGTGATATTAAATGATGCAAGACTCACCATGTTAAGTAAGACCATTCTTAATGTAATTTTAATTAATGGCATTATTGCATCGTATTTCAGGGGCTTTAGTAGCTCTGCCCCAGTTCGTAGGTGTTACCTGCATTTATCCAGTAGAAGTACATTTTTTGATTCAGCTGAGAAACAATTGCATTCTCCCAACCAGCTGACTTGCACTTCATTATCAGGCATTTTTGTATATTGCTTCCATCACCCGACTCTGTTTCTGATCTCTTAATGCACAGTTTAGGCCTCTTTTCTGTTTGGAGTTATCTCAGTATGTGCAGAGTGTATATTCAACAGGTTGTTGCTGATGGTGAGTGTCTGCAAAGTTTTCTGGATATTTTAGTATTGTAGGATGAGCTGCTGTGGGGAGATTTGCTGAGTGACTCAAACAGCACTGTTTTTCTTGGTTGTAATCTGTTTGTTTTTGAGGGTATGTTTTGCCGCACCGTATTGGAGCTTTGGAATTGGAATTTGAAGCTCCATTTCCAAATCCACTGTTTGGCTATTACAAAATAAGTTGGATTTGGGATTGTATTAGAATCCCAAACATCCCAATTTAACAAATTGAATCCCACAATTAAACTAGAGATTTCAAATACCAAATCATCATATTTTTAGCCAATATAAAGCCTCTCTCCTCCATCCATGGTCGATGCCTCTCTCTCTCCATCCCTCACTCGACCGACCAACACTTCCATGAGGTCCAGCATTCGGATCTTAGATCAGAGCCTTTAAAACCCTAGAAGAAGATTACATCTCAATCAAGTCTTTCAAGATTGTCTTCAAACAAAGCAGGTCTCCTTTTCATCTCTGTGTATATATGTGTTGATATGTATATATTGGGCTCCTCTCTTTTTTCTTCTTAATTTCCACCATTTACAGCAATTTTGAAAGCTTCAAATTCGCCTGAAGTTCTGTGTTGTTGGTTGTTTTCGGGTTAATGATTATTGATTAATTGGAATTTACAACCATCCATCTATCTATATATATGTATATAATATTTGAGGGGAGGTATTGAATAATAACGGCTTATATACTTGTGTTGGTTTAAAGCTTTAATGTACATTGAATTCCTCCTCTTTTCCCTTTTATCTTCCATGACATATTGTTATCCGTGTGTGATATACATTAACATGAATAAATTCAATTTTATATGAGTCTCTGCTCCATGTATTTTTGCTGTTTAAGCTGGTGATTTATTGAATTTGTTTCACATACAAAAGTGAGGAGATGATTTAAGGATAACCTGTATATGGATTTTATTTTTTGGGCAGGTTAACTTCAAATGTTTAATTATTGAGAAACCGAAGTTGCCTAATGTAGTACCCCAATCAGTTATTGGAGCTCTTGATCCCTTGATGTACCATTCAGTGCAGAGGATTAGTGATTTAATTAATACCCTTTTGTGTTACTTAAATGTATTATTATCGTTTCTAATCTCAATTACTTTTGTTGTTCTATGTAAACTTGATTAAAAAAAATCCGTGTTTGTGCTAAAACATAGTTGAGTGCAGCGGCCAATTTCATCTTTCCCCTCCATTTAAGATGGAATATATCATTGTACTAGGTTTTTTTTTTTTTTTTCGGGCCTTACCCATACTGGGATTTCTGGGTAGATTCCAAATAGAATAGGAGAGTTTAAAAATCTGAAGACACTTTCAGTCTATACTGTAAATTTTTCTGGTTAAATTCCTCATGAATTGGGGTTGCTGAAAAATCTCAAAAAGTTGCTATTATGGCAGACAAAGCTAACTGGGACTATCCCAGAAGCTATTGGGAATATTTCAGGCTTGTTGAATTCTCTGACTGGTGAGATTTTCCTTTCTCTTGCAAAATTAGGTGCATTGCAGGAGCTTCTGTTGTCTGATGACGACATTACTGGCAAAATTCCAGAATTCATTGGCAGCTTTTCAAGGTTGAAGCAACTTGAATTGGATAACATGTTTGCTGGTGAAATTCCATGAAGCATTGGGCAATTGAAGGAGCTTTCTCTGTTCTTTGCTTGGCAGAATCAGCTTCATGGTAGCATACCAAATGAGCTGGCTAACTGTTGCGTTGGACCTTTCACGCAATTCTCTCAATGGGTCAGTTCCAACTTCTCTCTTAGAGAGGAACTTATCTGAATTGCTGTTGATATCAAATGAGCTCTCTGGTGGAATTCCACCTGAATTTGGCAATTACACAAAGTCTGATTCGTTTACGGTTGGGATCAAACTTGTTTACTGGCCAAATTCCATCAGAAATTGGGCTCTTGCATAGTTTGAGCTTCCTTGAATTGTCGGAAAGTCGATGCACGGGAGACATTCCCCCAGAAATTGGCAGCTGCACTCAGGAGCTTCCTTGAATTTTTTGCATTCTTTTTAAGAAAATACCTCTGCTTGTTATGTTCTGGCACTATCCCTTAACATTCTTTAGTGGTACTTGGAAGTATATTTCTGTTTGTCTCTCTCTATGTTTTGCACCATGCAATGTAATCTTTCCCCTCCATTTATTGAGACAAAATGGAAAATGGAACATGTATTTCCTAGTTAAATCATAATTGTGATATTTCTCAGTCTGTAAAATTTAAGGTAATATTGTTTGTCTTTATTTTGACCTTTTGTGAGAAGACGTATGGTGGTGGTGGGGTGTGTGTTTTGTGACCAAAAATGCACTGGCTTGTCAAGTGGCATGTCATAATAGAGTTTTTAGTTCTTTTTTAGATTCATTTTCATAAATTAGTATCACTATTTTTTATGAAGATTTTTTCATCTTAAATTTGTATTGTTCATTTTTGTCTTTGGGTAGTGAGGTGTTACTTACCTTCAGCATCGTCATTCTTTTCACCCTTAGTCAGAATAATTCTCAAAAATCCCATTTCACCCTTAGTCAGAATAATTCTCAAAAATCCCATAAAATAGGAATACCAATTTTTTTTTTTTTTTTTTTTTAAGAGAGCGGTATTGTGCAAAAGTTTTGTTAGTAACAAAACATAATAATATATTAAAGGCATTTTCGTCACTTGTTTCTATTATCCATCGATTTGGTAATTGAAAATACGAAATAAAAGGATTATCAAACAGACGCTTCCTAATGTCATGGCTTTAAAATGTACCCTCTTCTACCTCGTAATCGGTTTATTTATTATGATTGTGATATAGAGTATCCAGACTCTGAATAGCTAGTAAAATAAGGGACTTAGATCATCTTCCACACACTTTTGTGTACTATATATTTTATTGTAATTAAATTGAGGATGCAACATCACTCAATATTAAATCAAGCCTGCAATACCATTTAAACAATGATGCAACAACGATTTAAAATTTTTGTATTCTCAATTTGATAGTGTTCCATTATATGTTAAATTCTTGAAAAAAATAAGTTGTTTGAGTATTTGCATGCCTGTTGAAATTGCATCTGTTTGCACCCTAAATTTAGTTTTCAATTTAGACACATTGTGTTGGTTGATTGGAGGAAAAGATATTTAATTCAGCCAAAAGTCATTAGTTGAGAAGAAGAGGGGTGTCCTTTTAGTGATAATAATTTAATATTGTTATAATAAAAGACCCCTATATTAAATTGGAGTCTAAAGTCAATAAATTGCCTAGTCAATTTTATTCCACAAACACTATTCATTTGGATAAGTTTAAGACAACAGATAAAAGGTGGATTAGATGGAGACAAATGAAGTTTCTTAATTCAAATATAATATTTGAATTTGAAAAGGAAACTTCTTTTACTAACTGTTACTCTAGACATCTATAAATAGCACCATGGAGCTTTGTGCAAAAGGTCCCCGACCACACAATGCATTTTCCATTCCTATAATTTACTTAAGTATTTTCATTGTATTACACTTCTTTTACTTAGGATTTTTCATTCTCTACAATTTTCATACATTCTATGGAAATTTTACTTATGAAATAAAAGTCGACGCTTGGCTTCAGTCCCCTCTACTTTTATTTTTTAAGTCTTTTTGGAATAGATGAATGCTTGTATAATTTGTTTTACTCCCTTCATCCATTCTACTTATAGTGCTGAAAGTCCTCTTTATTGAGGCGTCGAAGAACCTGAAAGAAGGGGTCATCATTGTCTTCCAGTAGTCGTTTGATTCACAAAAGGGCCAATTACTAATTCGGTCAGCACCAAGGATAGTTTGGCAATCCAACCCCTTGGGTCGAAAGACTCTAGCACGCCCCTAAAAAAAAAGAGCCAAACAATTTGGCATGCCCGATGGGATACCGAAAGTGTCTAAATTTTACATATGGCATTTACTCGGTCTCAGTCGCAAAATTTGCCTGAGAAATAGCCTCAACATTAAGAATAAGGGGCTGAAATCGAAGTAAATTAACAACCAAGTAATCAGATGTTGGGTGAGAATATTATCAACTTAGTGCAACGGATGAAAATTTCCATCCGTACCTTTTATGGAGCACTAGAGCCAATCCATAACACATTGGCTAATTTGAATAACTCTTTGACCATTCTATCAATAAGGTTTGATCAACACCTTATGGCACGGTCAAATACTACAGATACTTTGTTGCATGCACAACAACAAGTTCCAGTACCTGTTGGGGTTCAACAGAATTACTACCAACAACAGCGACAAGGGTTTTAACCCCTTCTGCACCCGTTGCATGGACAGTATCAACCCTAGGATAATCAATCGCTGACTAATCAGCCGCAACATCAGACACCAGTGGAGTACCAACTAATCGGAGGGGCCAATTAGAATGTGAATTGGCTACCACTTAATCCAATTTATCAACACCAACCGCAGGTATATCAGCCCCAAGAGAGGCGAGATAATTTTAATGCTGGTTTTAATTTTTCAGCACCTCAGCCTCAGGCGTAATATGTGCCTCAGCCTCAGGTGCCGAATGTGCCTCAGCCTCAGGTGTCGTATGTGCCTCATACTTAGGCACCTTATATGCATCAGCCTCAAGCACAACAGCGAAACCATCAACCCCTTATATTTGATAGAGATCAATTGGCTAATTTAACTTAAGAAACTTATGGACCATCCCCAAGAAGAGTTGGTTGCCTTACATATAGAAAGCCATATCCGGATTATATAGACCGCTATGCGTTTCCAAGAGGGTATAAAGTTCTCGATTTCGTTACCTTTCCGTGAGAAGACTCCACTTCGACCATAGAACATATTGGTTGGTTTACCATTCAATGTGGTGAGGCTGGAGCGAATGAATTCTTAAAATTAAGGTTATTTGCTAATTCCCTTAAAGGGACTGCATTTTATTGGTATATAAGTTTACCAGCAAATTCGGTCTATACTTGACAACAATTGGAAAAAATGTTTCATACCCAATTTTATAAGACTGAACCAAAAGTGTCGATGGCTGACTTATCTAGGCTGTCCAAAATGCCTGGAGAGACGGCTGAAGCCTTTATTCGTAGGTTTAAAACGGCGAAACACAAATGCCAAGTAGCCCTTCCAGAAACTGAATATGTGAGTCTAGCCTTGAATGGTTTAGACTTTGAATTATGAAGGAAATTTGAGGGAATACAATTTTGGGACTTGTTCTAACTAGCCTCTAGTGCTACAAGATATGAAAAGGTCTTGAAAGAAGAACAAGATAGAAGAAATGCCTCTAGGGGTACCTATTACAGGGACCCAAACTTTGAAATTCATGTGATAGAGGCGTAGAATAATAATTATGTCAAAGATCATACTTATGAGATTCATTGGACAAAGGCTGAAATTGGCATCAAAGTTGACGCTGCAGAACTGATAGATATCAAGCTTTACATATGTCAAGCGTTGAAAAAGCCTCTGGAAAGGGTTAATGGTGTTCAGATGTTGAATTCAATAACCATAAGGACACCAAAAGAGGCTGAAAAACAATATAATTTTGAACCAAGGCTTACTTGGCCTTGGGGGGTCGTTCGGCCCTAAGAAGCCCCAAGAGGCCGAAAGAATTTTTGTTCGATCCTGGAGGACTCATTAGGTTGCTCAACCACTTAGGGTACCAAAGAAATATCGATTATTGTGACCGATTTAAATTATGAGTTGTCGATTGATAGCCAAATATGCACGTTTTGGTTGCAAATGTCAACAATTTAGTGCTGAGATTGGAAATTACCCGGGGGGTAAACACAATCAGCCTCTACATAATTCAATCCTGTACTTAGGCCACTTACTTGTCACTTTGGTGGTAAGGTTTGATCAGCACCTCAATTGATTAAGTGCTCAAAACGATTGTATTGTGAATGTGCCGTAGTTAGGATGTGGCTGAAAGATTGCTGATAAGCGAAACAAAAAAGGGGGCTGACAGCAATAAGGTGTTGATCGGAAAAGCAATTGAAGAATTGTCAGAAAGATGTAAGGACTAGTTAGTTATGCGAAGGGCCAAATAAGAATGACTGATTTAAATTGTGATCCATCAGTTTAACTCTTTAAATTTTCAGTCTGCCCTTATTTCAAAGAGCTGGGGGGGCATTGTTTGCACCCTAAATTTAATTTTCAATTTAGACACATGGTGTTGGTTGATTGGAGGAAAAAATATTAATTCAGCCACATATCATTAGTTGATTGGAAGAAGAGAAGTGTCATTTTAGTGATAATAATTTAATATTGTTATCATAAAAGACTCCTATATAGAATTGGAGTCTAAAGTCAATAAATTGCCTACGTCAATTTTATTCCACAAACACGATTCATTTGGATAGGTTTAAGACAAAAGGTGAATAAGATTGAGACAAAGGAAGTTTTTTAATTCAAATATAATATTTGAATTTGAAAAGGAAACTTCTTTTACTAACCGCTGCTCCAGACATCTATAAATAGCACCATGGAGCTTTGTGCAAAAGGTCCCCAACCACATAACACATTTTCCATTCCTACAATTTACTTAAGTATTTTCATTATATTACACTTCTTTTGCTTAGGATTTTTCATTCTCTGCACTTTTCATATAGTCTTTTACTTGTACTTTACTTCTGTTCATAGGAGTAGCCTAGTGTTAGATTTACAATTCTTGTTTTCTGTATGGGAATTTTACTTATGAAATAAAAGTTGACGCTTGGCTTCAGTCCCCTCTACTCTTATTTTCTAATTTGTTTTACTCTCTTCATCCATTCTACTTGTAATGCTGAAAGTCCTCTTTATTGAGGCGTCGAAGAACCTGAAGGAATTGGTCATCCTTGCCTTCCTGCAGTCGCCTGATTCACAAAAGGGCCGATTACTAATTTGGTCAGCACCAAGGATAGTTTGGCTATCCAACCCCTTGGGTCAAAAGACTTTGGCACGCCCCTAA